AAAATGTTGAAAGTAGAAATGTGAATGAAATGGTGAAAACATCTCAGAGGTAAGCAGTCCTTACACTGAAACAAACCCAAACAAAGAAGATTGAAACAATTGATTTGTCCTACATTGCCTTTAAACCCTGAATATTTTTTTTTACTATACACAGCTAAATCAATTGTCAATCCACCACCCAAACCTGCAAACCTTTGCTCCCTATATTTTGCTTGAAATAGGTCCCATTACTTCGTGCACTGGACTGAACATTGGCAGCATATTGCAATCTTCATCAATGTGACGAGTGTTACTATTCGACAAGGTTTGGCAAACTGTGTCAGAGGTGTTGCTTCCATCCCCATGAAAAAAATCTATATTTTTAAGGCTTACCATAAATGGAACAGTGGCATGAAATCAAAATCAGAACTGGTGATAAAAGATGTGATTTTTGTACATGACCTTGACTTTGTTCTACTCTTATTTTAGTACAGGACAAAGAATTCATGGCATACTGCCACACACTAACACTGCTCCACTCAACCAAAGGAGCCCCCAAAATAATAAAAAAAACAAGATTAAAGAATAAGTGTTGGAGATGTAAGGGAACTGAAAATTCCTCGGATGTAGTCTTCTCATTCCATGTGATACCCCCCTCCTCTCCACCCTCCACCAATCTCTTTCACCATAGTAGGTGATAAAAACCGCTCCGAGTTTGAGGCTCAAGAGACAAAATCATTCTCTAAAAATGTGAAAGAGAACATAAATGCCATTATATGTGAGGAGCAGCAAGGAAATGTCAAGATGTATGAGCGTTACAGGTACTTGATTAATTACATCCTCTTGCTTCCTCTTCAATGTTTTTTCTACAAAGGTGCTTTGTGGAATTTAATTGAACTGAAATTTATTTTTAATCTGTAAAAAGAGTATGTACAAAAGAAAAAAGAAAAACTATCATAGACAGACATCAAAATAAAATCTACAAATGAAATCACACTATTATTAACGCCATCTTTCTGAAACATGCACTAACTCTTTTCCCTTTGTCATTATGCACTTTCCATTTGGAATAGTTTGTGAAGCACTTTGAATTGCCTTGTTGTTGAAATCTGCCCCCCCCCCAAAAAAACAAACAAAAAAAAAAACAACCTAGGCTTGACTTGACTTTATCAACATTTCCCTCAATCTTGCTATTAACCGATGACATCAGAATTTGTCCCACCTTAAACCTTACCTGGTTAAAAAAAAAAGGAAATGTGTAATGTGACATCCAGTACATCCAACCTTCTCTGGAGTAAAGTATTCCAATCATTATGATTAGTCTGAAGTGTATGATTGCAGGACTTGGCAGGGGATGAAATCCCATGCAGAGGTTAAGCCTGTGTGCAATGCTAAATGACAGAGCATATATTAATATGAAATCCATCCAATTATCTCTAATGGAGCTCTCTGGCGTGATACTGTACCCAGTTATTTCAGCTCCATGAGCTTCAATAGCTCTAACTCTAGATCCACTTCTTCCTCTTTGTGCTCTTGACTGTATTATTTTCCATGCATCTCAGTGTGAATCAAGAATCCTTACGTATATAGTGTCTATCAAATTGCTAATTTACCTCTACAGGTAATAATTGAAGTATAATTATTACATGTGCTCTAACCCAAGCTTAATCCTTGGTGAAGTCAGCGAAATCAATTTTGATTCCTGACAGAAATTGTTAAGGACCTCTTCTCCCCCGGCCCCCACCTCCCTTGTTTTATTGTTTCTGTAGCGTGTGTCAAGATCTGTTGTGAGAGAGCCACTTAATGAAGCTGCACTGTACCTGAATTTATTTGCCGCCGCTTCTACATAGACCAAGAGAGGAGGAACCAATTAATAGAACGTAAGAGGACCCGGTGATTTATAATTAACAAGCATGCGGGTTATAGTAAACATAACACTCCATGTAATAGCCCAGGAGAGAGATGGGAAGTGGAGAAAGAACCGGGGAGGAGGAGGAGAGGGAGGAGAAAAAAACGGAGAGTTGATTTGTCCCTTGGTGGATGAGCGGAGTCCTTGTGGCTGACGGGAGCTGTCTAAAGCGGCTAAATGAATAATCATCTGTGAGTTAGGCTGGAGACAAACGCTTAACGAGGATGATGTGAACCTCACTGACATGAGGGGGCCAAGAGAGAGCGACTGACAGAGAGAAAGATTGCAGCAAGCAAACATACTCGGCTCTGAAATGAATGGCGGGCCCATTATAATAGCAATGAAGTTGCTTTACTCAACAGGCCGTAGCCAGCCTCCCCTGTAAGGTTGAGTAGTTGTTTGTCAGAATTTCTAAAAGGGCAATGAATCCCCCACTCATTTCCAGTGGTTTGCTGCCGGTGCATGACGGGGAACAAAAGAGAATTTGCAGAAAGCAAATGTAAGTCTGACAACCCTGACAGTTGAGGAGGGATCTTAAGGCAAGCATTTATAAAACATCTTTACCCCCACACTTCAACTGTTTGGGGGGCATTCACATGGCTCACAAGTCGCAACTATACAATGCAACAAAGTGAAACCCGTCTCTCAGGCCTTATCGCAAGTCATCTCCTTCACTTTATACTGTATACATCAGCCAGAAGAGGCTAAGGTACAGTGGACATGAGATTGAAAAGCTTGGGTATCACTTAAAATGACCACATCAAGTGGCTGACATGGGCTAACAATATATAAACAAGCTACCTTTTAAACAGAACTCCAGACACAGATGTCTGCATATCAATGCAGGACATAAAGGTGGAGGAGAATAGCTTTCAGGTTTCTGTTTTTAGTCCAAGGAAGTCCATGTTTGAGACCAAAGCTGTGGTCCAAACTGCGAGCCTAGAACTCTGTAGACACGAGGAAAGAATTTCCGCAAGTGCCAACAAAGAGCTTCAAGTCCGATCAGACAAATGTGCTGACAGGCAGTGCACAGAGGCAATGCACGTGGTGAATAGGAATAGTTGGTTTCTTGTCTTGTTGTTTTTTTTTCTCTATATTCTCTTTAAACTGATATCTGCATTGGTAGGCAAATAACAGTTTGGTTGTAGTAATTTCCCTGAACTCCATTCTTGCAGTTAAAGTGGCATGTTGGCCTGAATACAAGGACTAGAAGAAATTGGCCAAGATATCCTTAAACACTTATCCTGATATTTTCCATCCAAACCTGAAGCCCTGAAAAAGTTAAATCATCAATAGAATATTGGTGTTTCTTTGAAACTAATGAAAGAAGGAGAAAAAAACTTGAAAGTGCTTAGTGGATCATCGGATAGGGTCTTCAGCCCATTTCCCACACTACAGACCCAGAGGTGGGCGTCAAGTTTACAGTTATTAGATTTGTACCTCTTTCTCAAGACAAACTTTTACAAAGTGAACAACCATGAAACTCTTTGAGTAAATGACATCACGCCAAGAGGGATAGTGAATGGACCTGAGCTTGTATAGCGCTTTAGTCTTCAGACTACTCAAAGCGTTTTAACACTGCAGGTCACACCTACACATTCACACACTGATGGCAGAGGCTGCTGTGTAACGTGTCCATTAGTATTAACTAATCCATTCATACACATTCATACGCCACAAAGCAGCGGGAGCAAATTCTTGTCCAAGGACACATCGCACATGTGGCTGCAGGAGCTCGGGATTCAACCCAGACCTTCCAGTTGGAAGACGACCGACTACAAACTGATCCACAGCCGCCTCATTAGGGGGCTTTGACGGCAGTTATTTTTGCTGTACCTTTAATTGTAACCAGCCAATAGGATTTGTTTTCTGTATGAAATATGTATTTGAAATATACTGAACCCTTAAAAATGTGAAGAAAAGTAGCTGCCATACTTTAAGTGTAGGTAATGAATGATTTTTAACTTTTGTCCAGTACTTTCAGAGATTGACATTATTGTCAACAACATTGTGTTGTATCAAATCTTAAATATAACCGAAGCAACTAAGACATATTTTTCAACAACAAATTGAGAGAAATCATTTCACCTCTATCCATTAATACAGATTAACTGTGTTTTTATCAGCTGTTGAAACGATGGACTCAACTTTCTGCATGATTTTTTTTTTCTCTAAAAAGTCATTTTCATTTGTATCCTAACCCTCATGGAAATTGTTCTTCATTGCATGTGTTCCTTTGCATCTTAGATGTTTCTTGAAAGTGCTTTTCCTCTGATAACAGTGCTCAAAATCAGGTTTACAAATCGGTTGATTGTTAATCTGAAGCATGTAGGTTTACCAGCCAGGGTTTTACTGCTGCGCAACAATGAAGTAATACCATCAATGGGTATTTTCTCACAAAGCAAAATCCATGCCACAACTTCTCTTACAGAGTCGTTTTTTAAATTTTTTGTTTAACACATCTACAATCCAACAAGAGTATAGACAATTAACGTTGATATTACTTCTTATCATAATAGAGCATTAAGACACACCCCTAACCCTGTGTAGGATCAAAGTTTCTTAAAGACAAAGAAAGAATGGTACGCAGAGTTAAAGCTGTTTTGCAGTGACTTTTTAATTGCTCGTCCATTTAGCTCTTCTATACAATAAAGCAGAAATGAAGAAAGCACTGTCCTTCAGGGTTCCCACGGTAACATCCTATATTTGAGTGCTGATTGGCCATCTGGTATTGTTTTATGTCACTTCCTATTAAGCTCATTGATTCTCCCTCCCTGTCTGTGGCATGTGGTTGATCAGCGAGGATCAGTGTATCTGCCTGTAATATGAATATGGTACAGTGGTATGATTATAGTACATGATGGTCTCTGTCTGCCTGTTCGCTGATGCGGGCCCTCCAGCTACGCTTAGACTCACCGCGGCTGTGATTAGGCTGTTTATGTAAAGGTTGTACCAAATGAGGAGATGAATAGTTTTAATATGGAAATATATGACGCAAGCGGGTCACAGTAAAGGACAGTGTTGCAGAACATACAGACATGGAGCTCAGCATAAGTTCAGACAGGAAGACTGGTTATATTCTTTCACTCATTCATTCATCCTTTCACTTCAACCTAAACCACTCCCCCTACTACGTCCTCTGTCTCCCTTCTCTGGTGATCAGCTGTTTATGGGCGTTTTTCTTCAAGTGATCAACCAATCAGATTTGGGCTCAACCTCTCCCATCCAATCATCCTGCAGCAGCAAAAAGGCTAAAACAACTCTCTCTCTTCCGCAGCCCTTCTGTCTTTTCAGGCAACCGCTGTAACCCACCACCGCCCCAGTCACCTCCATTCCAGCTCAGCAGAGTCCAGATCAGGCTCGGATACCAATTCCTCATCGCAGCCTCCATTCATCTTCACCACCACCAGTGTCTAGACTCCATAGGGGGGTCTCCTAAACCTGCTGTCGGCTTCATTACCTTCCGAGCGTGAAGTCGTCACGATGTAGTCTAATCCCCCAAAGACTTTGAACATTCGAAATTAATTGTTGCACATTTATTGTAAATAAGTAATTGTTCATTCTCAATTAAGTCTCTCCTGATTGAAATGTTCACAGAATCATGGACGTTACACATCCAACCAATGTGGCCAATGCCTTAACAGAGCTCTTTGTATTGTATCTATCTTCATGTCTTTGATTCAGAATATGACTGGCTACCTGTCCAGGGTTTACCATGCATCTAGGGACAGCTGAAATCGGCTCCAGCCCCACCAGGGCCCCTGACTGGATCAATACAGGTATAGATAAAGGATGGTTGGATGGATATTTTGACTGATGAAAGAGCTGACTTGTAAAAATGTGTTTCTCAGTGTTGTATCAGTGTGTCATATTAAGATAAGAACACAAATTATTCTTCCCTTTACTGTAAAGACTGTATGTTAGCAATGGCCATAACCACGGTGAATCAGCCATTGGTTTAAGGACCAATCATTTGGAGCCTCAAGTTTTGCTTTTGGCTGTCACCAATTTGGTTTTGTTATATGTTTCGTCGAGTCGCGCGTGATCACACACTGGCTGTCAACACTGAATTTATAAAAGAAAACAAACCAGATATAAAGGCCATGAATAAAAAAGTGTTGACCAAATGAGAAGAAGGAGCATTGTTTTGTGGACTTACAATCAGCCTTTTTTTTTTTCAATCGTGCTTCAACAAAGTACGGGGCAACTGAGCCTTGTATAAGTGCGCCCTAAGAGCCTGTGTCCTCTTGAAATACAAAGTCCATGCTTTTAAGTCTTGCAACTTAGTCTATTTGGTGCAACCACCTTACGTTCAATAACTTGTTGTTTCCCCAGTATTTTTAAGCATGAAACTTAACCTTACAGATTGCATTGATGTGCCCAGTCAAGATCTGTGTTTCATGTTATGACATTGATTTAGCAGAAAAGCTTTGTGGTTCTATAGTTCCTTCGTTAGCACCATAAAATAATCTCTGCTTGTCACATTTTGTAAAGAAACATACAACATGTCTGTTAAGTTTAAATGTACATAGAGAAAGTTTAGGTGGATGGAGTTTGATAAAGAGTCGGTGATAAGATCCACATGTATGTGCATGTTATGATTTAGAAACTTTTGGATATTGTAATATATGAGCACTATTGGACACTATGACAGAGTGCTCAGATTTGTCCTTCAGTAAAGTTGATGTGGCTTTGTGTGCTACACCACAACCTCAGAAATGGATTTTCATAAAATTAATGCTAAAATTTTCTTCAATCCCAAGTGTAAATTCTGAACTATCAGAAAAAAGGATAAAGAATGTCTTTGTTTAGGAGGATTTTCTGAACTTCTCTGAGACACATTAAGGACACCCACCCACCCAGCCACTCTAAAAGGTGCTATCGCCATAGAGAGGCCAGTTATGTGTGCTCCACTGTCAGACTGAGGAATATGATCCCCCTTCTACCTCCTGCCCTCACTTCCTCCTCTGTTTCCTACGGGGGCTCATTTATTTACATTAGCACTCGGCAGAAAAGCATCAGAGGAAGTTTTAAAGTAGAGCCACAATGGCCGATTTAAGCCGCCACCCAAAAGCCCGTTTTTTTCTCTTCTTCTTTGGGCTAAGAGGATTTGTGTCTGGTCCATGTATCAGGCCTCTCTCTCTCAGTCTCTCTCTCTCTCTCTCTCTCTCTCTCTCTCAGTCTCTCTCTCTCTCTCTCTCTCTCTCTCTCTCTCTCTCTCTCTCTCTCTCTCTCTCTCTCTCTCTCTCAGTCTCTCTCTCTCTCTCTCTCTCTCTCTCTCTCTCTCTCTCTCAGGGACAAAGTCACCCCTCACACTCACGCTGAGTAAAAGTAACGTTTGCCACTAGCTGCCTGGCTAATGACATTTATCCTTATGGAAATGGAGGAGGAGGAGAAGGCTTTAGATGCAGATTTGGACACACATATACACCTGAGACAGGCAGACGTAAATCTGCTGGCTACTTCTATGGCATGCATGCTCAATGAGTCACACAAACCCCAACACGCACATGCAAAGACACCTCCCTTGCAGAGTCTTATCCCCCTAACTGGCCACCAGTCAAAATAAGCCTTATTCTCTGGGGTTTATATTTTCTTCTGGCCGGGCTTGGCTAGGCACGCTCCGTTAAGATGGCAGCCAAACAATCTCTCCTCTCCTCTCATTTCCACCATTTCTTCCTTTCTAATGCTAATGCCTGGATGGATATATCCCCTTTTCCACTGGCGTGCAAGGAGGCCAAATTTCTGATTAACTCCTGAGACAAAGTTTCATTGCATCTAGGTCAGAAAGCTGTTTCAGACAAATGGGGAGGTGTCAAGTTTTGTTTTCAGACTGATATTGAAACATGTGGAAAACAGGTGGTCACATTGCAGGACAGGTCTGGCCTCCTTTCAGAAATATGCCTGAGACCAGTAAAGATTTTGTGGTGAATCAAAAGGTGGACAACATAAAAGAGAGATGATTGGTCCAAAAACTCTGAAGGCATTGTCAGAGAGGGAACGTGTTCCTAGCTGTTATGCTGAGGTATTATTTTACTTTCAACTGTTCATGCAGAAACTCCAGAAAAAACATTTCTGTCTAATTGAAGTGAAGCATTCTGATTATGCTAAATAACATCTTTTTGGCCTCAAAATGACATTTGGAATCTTTTTTTGGATCAGGTAAACTGTATTAATTCAGACACTTGTACATTTGTCACTTTACGAAAGCCAATCCCACTCTAAATATTTCTAAAATCACAACAGACGATGACTAAATGAAACCTGCATGTGTGACCAGAACTAATGATACATTTACATTTACACATAACAGCTATATTTACTTTTCATTTGTAACAAGTTCATATTTTCTGCTGTCAAGTTAATGTTGTAATCTTCTATCTACCAGAAGGTCCTTCCTTTATTTCAAAATAAAAGCAGGGTTGAATTCAAACAGCAAGAAAGGTATGCTCAGCTTAAGGCTGATCAACAATTTAAATAAAAGCCTAACGTCAAACATGCGATTCAAAATGTGATTAATCGCAATAAAAACATTTTTAACATACCTCACATTGCAGGAAAATTAGAGGATGTTGTGTGTGTGTGTATGTGTGTGTGTGTGTGTGTGTGTGTATTCATGCCTTTACTGCAGAGAGGACAGAGGAAACAGGGACGAGAGAGAGTGTGGGATGACATGTGGCAAAGTGTCGAGAGTCGCAGTTGAACCCAGGCTGCCTGCTTCAAAGCCTATAGCCTCTGTACGGTACATGGGACACATGATAAACACTACGTTAACAGTCCCAATGTTACTTATACCTTCGTTGGAAGGTGGGAAAACCAGCCCAAAACAATAGCTTGATTTTCTTGCATTGTGTACTTATTAGTCTGAAGATTTACAATGCTCTGGGTATTATTTAAGTCTTTACAAAATTAAAATGAATTTATGAGATCCCATTAAACCTATGAATATATCGTTAAAGGACACTCTGGCCAGATTTACACTGTGAATTTAAAAGTTTGGACCACTTTGAAGCCATCTATAAACTTTTCTGCCATTCTCTTATAAATAACCGACCTGCATTTGAAATGGCTTCAAAGGCCATTTCAATTTACTTTTTGAGGTTGTACATATACACATTTGAACACTCAGTCAAAGTGTTCATGCTCATATGGATGCTCACTTACAGGTCATGCACAAACAAAACACACACACGCACGCACACACACACACTTTCACAGTGGTGACTGAGGAGTTTTCCTAGTGTTTGGGAGATTTAGTTGGGGATGCTAGCATTTCAATAAAACACAGGGCTGGTTTATGATTCACCCTGAGCTCAGCTGGGTCACTTAGGATCCTCGTCCTCTCTGGTCATTAATTTTGTCCGCCAGAACGCGGGCCTTCTTGCCAACTTCCTTCTTCAGCCATTTTTGGTTTCTCTTGCACTCCCCCCCCACTTCTCTGTCTGTCTGAGATGAAGACATACAAGGACACTCCCTGGAGGCTGCAGTGTGGCTGTGGCAGCGTAATAAAGAACCTGGAGGTCAAATGTACATCGAAATCCTTCACCCCTCTTCCTAGCACTCACACACACATACACACACTCTTACACATGCAGACAGGTCAGATGTACAACACCAGAGTTGGTTACATAAACCAGCTGGCCGCGGCTGCCAAGAAGCAGCAACGACATCTAAAAGTTGTGTGTGTTCCTGTCTTTCTGCTGGTGTGTGTGTTGTACCCCCACTTCCCCAAAATCACCTGGGACCTTGTTTGTTGTCTTCAGCCCACAAGGGAAACACTGTCAGCTTTACACACACACACACACACACACACACACACACACACACACACACACACACACACACACACACACACACACACACACACACACACACACACACACACACACACACACACACACACACACACACACACACACACACACACACACACACACACACACACACACACACACACACACACACGTGTTAGAGGACTCTGTTCCAGTAAGGTCTGCATCTCTGTGATGGTGTGTGGACTGAACTTTCCCACCTTTTGGATGTGTGTACTTTGTGTGTGTTTGTGTGCGTGTGTGTGTGTGGTGTCTCTGGGAGTATGATGATTATTGAGGGGCTTTAAAAGCCTAGCAGACAGAAGTCCTGACCTGACTTCATAGAGTCATATAACCAGCACAGCCTTTTACAATTAGCCCCTTTGTCATTTTTCTCACCGTTGTTTCTATCAGCTATAGGTGCATTTTGATAGTTCACCCTCCGACTACTGGTTCCTTATTTACCCTGAAGGTGATCAAGGATATTTTTGTGTGGATAAAACAATACAGGATAAGGGAAGTATCTTGTCTCCACAGTCATGTTGGCATGTTGTTGGCATGTTAATGAAAAATAATGATCTGTAACCCAATTGTAGAAAATCAAAAGAATATTTATTTAACAAAAGTCCAAAACAAAAACGTACTTTCTTAACAAAAAAGAAACAAGGAGCCACGAGGACAAACTGGTAGTCACTGGGAAGCACAGGTAAGTATAAGAAAAATAAAACAGGAAAACACTAAACACTAATCTAGGAAACATTAAGATAACACACAAGGGAAACAAGCAACACCAAGGAAGAATGAGAATATACCAAGAAAAATAAATCTAAACTCTGAAATACACAAAATACAAAACTAAACCAGACCAAATCATGACAGTTGTCCTGTATTCAATTTCAATTGTCATGTTATCAAAAATGGATGAATTGAATGTGCACGAGGAGAGTGATGAGATCTCTTGCCATGAGATCTTGCAATATTAAAACATCACAATATTTCTCGCTGTGGTGAAAACTGTCTCGCTGTATCAACATACTGTAGACGCAGACAGCAGCCATCATGTCTGAGTCTGATGTTGAACTGGAAGTTAACATAGAAGATGCCACCGCCATTTTTAAATCACGAAGAAGATTATAATAACAATTTTTTTGTCGATTAAAGCAAACTTTTTATTCTGATGGTCTGAGTGTTTAAAATGTCAATAAACATGACAGCCTCAAAGGCTTAAGGATTCTGATTGTTCTTGTTTATCGGCAAAAAAGCAAAAATACAAGTTAATCATGCAAGAAATAACCAGTTAAAAATATGGAAATCATAACATGGTCGTTTTTGGCAATATGGCTAATTTAAGTTTTTTTCTGGTAATTAAATGAGCACTTTTCAGTTTCAATCGACTGACAATGTGCAGAATAACATCAGTTGTGGGGCGCTGTTGGTGCGGTGGTTGGTGCGCGCCCCATGTACGGAGGCTGTGGTCCTCCAGGCGGGCGGCCCGGGTCCAACCAGTGGCTCCTTTCCCGTGAGACGTTCCCTTCTCCCTGTCTCCCTGATTTCCGACTCTATCCACGGTCCTGTCTCTCCAATAAAGGCTCAAAAAGCCCAAAAATATATATTTAAAAAAAAAAGAAATAACATCAGTTGTGCTAATTCACTGCACAAAATGACCACACAAAACGTTCACATAAATGATTTAAAAGAGATGACCGTCTAAATCAAATCAGTTCACAACCACCAACGTACTGCTACATGAGGTCTGCAGATGTTCTCCAGCAGTGGAGGGCTTCTTTTTGGGGTTCATTTTTAGTCTGACTGGAAGACGATTTCTCTGAAAGCAGGAGGAGGCTTGTGCATGTAAATCCATGAGTCCAGAGTCAATTTGACATGCAATAATTTAACACATATTTCTCCCCCTGTGCAAAACTATATCATTTTATTTCTCTTTTCGTTTTTTTTTCTCCTCACAGTTCATGAAGACATGCAGAGAATGAGCTGTGTCCCAGCAGAGCAGCTTCTTACAACTGGGGGGAGTCCCCAACCTAATATCCACATGACAGAGCCTCCTGCTGTAAAGGTGAGCCTCCATATGAAAATATACACTCTTCAATCATTGCTTTTATGAATATGATGTAGACAGGCAGTAAGAGAAATCAGCTGTATATCATATGGAGAGGTCACGTGTAAATCTATTGCAGGTTTATTTGGACACTATATTTGGACATTAAACAGAGGTCTGGTAACGTGTTATATGTATGTATATGGAAAAGAGAATCTACTGGTGTCGGGGATGTCACTTTGTTTGGGATTTACATTTAAAGCTTCTGTTTATACCGCCTTTATTGTGCTGTGCTGTATCTGATCATCATATAAAAACAGTTACCCCTCAGCCTCCTGGCATGGCCGCTGTGTCTGTTTGTGAATTTGTGTGTGTGTTTGTGTGTATCCAAAAGACCATGATGGGTGACGGCATCCCTCAGCACTGAAACATAGCCGCTGGGGATGAGTGTGTGCACGCGTGTGTGTGTGCGTGTGTGCGTGCGTGCGTGCGTTGCGTGCGTGTGTGTAAGCATGAATGGCAAAGATCTTTTACCCCACCCCCCCTACCTTCAACTACCATCTGTACACACACACACACATATGCACACATGCACGCACACACATACACTTATAAACACCAGAAAAGATGAATGTCAGGGTGTCATGCTGAGTGACTGCAACAAGCACGTCAATCTGTCTTGACAGATCCGGCTTATATCACAGCAAAGGAAGCGGTTTATGCGCATGCACACACGCACACACGCACACACACACAAACAGGCTTGTAAAAACTAAACAAGCATTAAGAACCTTTCCATTTTAATGTTGACAAAAACTGCCTTATTGTAAACAAATCATATCACCATGACAACAACACAGTAAAGGTAGTAGCAGTACCCAACCTGGTGGTTGTATCATTGCTTATAATTAATTTAGATCAATCTTGCTGTCATATTAGAGTTTGATTACATGTCTGAGATTGAATGACTTGTATATTAAACATTGATTGAGTTCCCTTGATATGATTACATTACATTACATTCACATTGTGTTAGTAGACCAGTAATAGATAAGAAGAATATTTCACTTCAGAGGCAGAATTATTCGTAACCGATTAATACATGCCGAGTCAGTGTACTTGTTAATAGATTTGAAATGATTATATTACTTTTCTTTTGGTTTGGCATTAAGAAAGTCATTAAAGATTTAAAAAGTATTTGTTTAGTACCATTTATTTTTCCATAGACATACTCAGTTCAGCCATCACAGATCTTCTCCCAGCTGCTGGCTCAAGCAAACTACTGAAGACAATTTCAAAATGATCTTTGTTCCTTGAGCTAACTTAGTTCATATCCCTTTGCTAGTTTAGGCTGTATCTTTACGAACATGTAAAGATACAGTCAGGGGTTACAAATACCAGAATCAGGAGACCATGCAATTAAGAAAAAGAAAAAAAGCAATTGGCGAGGAAACATTTATTTTCAGTGTTTTTATACAATAGACAATTTTGTAATAAAGCACCATGTCAAATTCCAGTGAAGGAAAACTCGCCAAGAATATAAAATTAGGTTTCACTATCATGAAAGAAAGCAGTCATCGATGTTTTGGGATGCTGGTGGCGTGTCTTTTGAATGTACAGAAACCACACCCATTGAAAAATCTGCAATTTAAATTCTTCATAGTGTGGCACTCCAGGGTTTGTGTGGATTTTAGCGCCCCCTGTTGGCAATTGTTTTTGGTGTGAAGTCCCCTTTAAAGCACTGATAATCCAGATTTTGGAATCCATACAAAGTCTATACCTGGATCAAATTGATCCTGTCCAGTTTTTCTTTGAAAAAACAAAAGATAAAAGAAGCAGAATGATGTGATCCTAGATCAAAAAAAAAGTTGACGACCAAATCTAGATCCTTTTTTATCTAGATTAAACCTTTTAAACAAACTGTCCCAAGATATCAAATTCATTAAACAGAATACAGAACAGGCATCGAATGGCAAGAACAAGTGTTTTGATGGGCAGTTAGCGTAGTGGTTAGGGAACACGCCCCATGTACAGAAGCTATAGTTCTCCAAGAGGGGGCCCGGGTTCAAATCTGACCCGTGGCTCCTTTCCTGGGTGTCATTCTCCACCCTATCTCTCCCTGATTTCTGGCTATCCACTGTCCTATCTCTAATTACGGGCATTAAACGCCCCAAAGATAAACCTTTAAAAAAAGCGCTTAGAAGAACAATAAAGATGTGAAAACAGGGGACTGTATCCAAAAGAAAAGCTGTGAGAAAAACAAAAACAAGAGTGACAAAACACTTAAAATATAAAACTCCAACAAAGTAATCACCCAGTTGAAGTATTAAGAGAAAGCCTCATTAAACTGATGTTTCATTAGACCTTCAGTGAATCAAGAGTAACACTGGCAGCTTTCTTTCCTGTGTGCTTCCAAATTGTCATGTGAAGGTGATTCTGCGGCAGCACTTGAGAACACAGAAAGCTGTGTCTGTGTTTTACAGTGTGAAAGCAGCTAAAAATGGCCGACAGTGGAGGAGTGAAGGTGTGAAGATATCTTGAGAACGTATAGACAATGAGGGGGTGGGAACAATATGGTCTCAACTTTAAGTAACACCAGAACTAACACTAATGCTACACTTAGATTTTATGCCCTTTCCTGTTAGTTAATAACTCAGGCTTACACCAGGGTTGCTTCATCAGCAGGACATTATAGCTTTACATTCACTAGTGTGTTTGCATGGTATTACTTCTAATCTCATCCCGTTTCTATCGTGGCAGCCATTACACAGACACACCAGTATGAAAGCAGACTGCTGTTCCTGTTCCACATCCCTACAGGACGTCGATGAGGAGCTTTTTATAATTGGAAAAAATCGCTCTGAACGAGCACCGTGTTAATTTTCCTTTCCCCACTTCTAAGTTCCTCCACACATTCACCTCGCCTTCTCTTCACCCGCCTCCCAATAAGGGAATGCTAATGTGTTAAATGCGAACAAACACAGATAGGATGTCTTACCATTTTCTGCTTCCCCACTGTTCCCCACATTGCTCTAGCGGCTAAATTAGAACGAGCCAAATGCAGAAATTAGAGCAAAGAGGCCAGATGTGATATTTGTTTCTCACACTGCGGCGTCAGGTAGATGTTGAGAAAAAATGAAAGGAAAATCAAAACAGCTCCCTCATTGGATTTGCGACTCATTTTGATTCGCTGATGGTGGCCAGCTAATCATATGATCCTGTTAGGAGAAGTGAAGTGTTTGTGTGTTTGAGTGGGATTCTGCCGGGAAAGTTAACAGCCGCTGTAAATAGGCCGGGGCCTGGTGTCTTGATTTCTGCACAGTTGATGCCGTGTGTGTGTGTGTGTGTGTGTGTGTGTGTGTGTGTGTGTGTGTGTGTGTGTGTGTGTGTGTGTGTGTGTGTGTGTGTGTGTGTGTGTGTGTGTGTGTGTGTGTGTGTGTGTGTGTGTGTGTGTATCATCCATTGCTGTTTTTTTCCCTATAAAAGCAATTTGCCCCATGCTCGGGCTAGGCAATGAGCAGATGCTACCATTGTAAATGATGATGCGAGGGGCCATAATAAAGAGTTGATAAACACAGAATTACTGCTGGGCCGTGGGCACGCAGAGAGGGAGGGGAGGGGAGGGGGGGAGGAGAGAAGGAAAGTGAGAGGAAAGGAGGGGTGAGAGGAGTAGGAGACATACAAACACACACAATGAGACAGATAGAACATTTAAGCAGAGCAGCACAGGCACAGATATAGAAGTGCTAAAAGTGCTTGAGTACATTTATTTCCTAAAAATCTTCTAAAATGGACAATGACATCCAACTCTTTCTAGATTCATGTTTACTTTCTAAAGGGCGCACTCACACAAGGGAATCTGTACTGTGCCTAAGCACGCTTCACCCCTGAAGTCCAGTGCGTTTGACCAGTGTGACCGCTGGTCAGACAAATCCCTGTATTTGTCATCATTGTTTTATTTAACCCTAAATAATCAAGGGGTAAAACTTGTAAAAAAGAATACACTGCAAAAATATAAATCTTGGAAAGTATTTTGGTTAGGGATGTGACTGTATCGTGTCGTGGACCTGTGAGGTATGAAACAATATGGTATTCATGTCAAAAAGTGTAGGTTTGATTCAGCTGCAGTGGATCAGATATAACCAAAGTGGGAACTTCAGCGTAAGCGGGGAGGGAGAACAGAAAGACAATTTTGAAATTCTTGATGTTGTTAGCTCACATGGCTAAGGCGGACTCACCATTTCAGACTAAGGACTTAAGTTTCACTTTCACTTTCACTTTTCAGTTATTTAGCCTCCTAGATACAACATTTACAACTATTTTAACTTTGCATCATCAACTTTAAATCAGCTTTCTTAATTTAATTTAATTTAAAGAGATTTTATTAAAAGTGATGTATATTTAAATGTCTACAGTTTACAGATGCTCATATAAAGATAGATGGGTTGAGAAACAATAAAGAATATATCATTTCTGAAACTCCATCAAAATATAAAACAAATATCAATAAGGGCATTTTCAGTCATAACTCTCTCTCTATATATATATATATGTATATATAAATAATGAAGTCAGTGATGCCTTTTGACTACAGTAATCTTCCTTAACCTATGTGCAATTCATCGAATTCTGAAAGTAGCTGCAGTGAACCTGCTGGGACTTTAAGAGCCCCACAGGGATCTGGGCCAGTGGACAAATACTGGCTTTGCTAATTTGACAATCCATGCCAAAATATGAGCCAATATTGGATCATGATTAAAACTGTCCAGTGGTCTAGCTCCATATGTATTCAAACTTTGAATATACATTTGTTGCATAGTAATCAAATAAGAATCAAATGTTCTAGTGGATTCAACAGAACAATGCAGGGACATATTATCATAGTATTTTCTGTGTACATATCATGCTCTAAATGTTCTAACCACATCTATGCGCACTCTTTGTGGGCTACATTATTGAATTATTATGTGTAAAATATTCTCAAATACACTGTAAAAGTGTATATTGGCTATAAGCTG